ACCACACAACGTTCACCTTTCATCAGTTGCCTGACGATCGCAATAGCGTGAAACTCCGAGTAGCAACATTCTGTTCCAGCGACCTCCAGTTCTATATATATATATATATATATATATATATATATATATACGGTAAATATTGAAAGAGGCACAACAACACCTACAAACCTTGTATTCTCTCAGTCCTGACGATCACATTAGCATGAACCAGTCTGTAGGGTGACTATACCCAGTTCGAAAAGTTTATATATTAACTACAGTAATAGGAATTGCATGGATGAAATCGAAAACTAGCCCAAATATGCATAGAAAATCGATAGAAAAGTAGGTGCGCGAAAACACCATAATACACTTGGCCCAATACATGATGTTTAACAAAAACTTCGCAGAAAATCGCTTTTATTTTCCGAAGTGAGTGGGCGAATTTCCAGGTTCAATTTATTCCCCCACACAGCCGGAATATGGGCAAAAAAATGACATTGGCATGGCTGGCCACACCGTAAAATATTTTAATTACACGAGTGATACATCTAAAACGCAGGAAGATAATGTACACGCAATACTCTTCAGAATTTTGCATTATGTCATTATATTTGTATAAATATTTATTAATATAAAATCCATTTATATTATTCTTGTTCTTAAAATAATTACAATTAATGATTAACATTAAAATTATTATTTGACCTAATGTTGAAATTTAAGAAGTGAGAATAATAATAGTAATAATAGCTATAGATTATTATTATTTTGGAATTACAATTTATGTATATAATGTTTGTAATCAAAATTGGGTTTCTTTTCATTTCAGTAAAAATTCTGTAAACGTCCAACCATTCCAAAATGCACTTCTGAAGATCTCAGCAAACCAGTGGACCAGTGGCTATAATGTTGCTTTCTCATTTTGTGATTGTTACTTTTGCTGAATGGTGAGTCATTATGCATTTCATATCAATTGTAAAGTGTTTTTGAGATAACGTTTGACCTGGTTGAGCACTAAGAACAAACATTTTAATTTCAATATTATTACAACACAAAACTTGTCATATTCCCTAATTAAATTATTTTAAAATAAATTAAAATAATTTTTTAAACTTTACATAAATTAAGGTGTTAATTGAAAAGTAATATAATTAACAGGGTAATGCAGTTGGAGAGATCAAAATAACAAATTTATTTCATTTATGTCATTAATATGACAAAACAATGAACAAAACTATCTAAAGTGATTTTCTAATTGCTAAATTCCAAATAACTACTATAATTTTGTAAGAAGAACATATTCTGATTCTGAACTTTACATAAATTAAGGTGTTAATTGAAAAGTAATATAATTAACAGGGTAATACAGTTGGAGAGATCAAAATAACAAATTTATTTCATTTATGTCATTAATATGACAAAACAATGAACAAAACTATATAAAGTGATTTTCTAATTGCTAAATTCCAAATAACCATTATAATTTTGTAAGAAAAACATATTCTGATAAAATAATAAGATAAAAATAAATATTAAATATGTATGCCTATGTATTATACAATAAAAAAGACAAAAAAAAAAAAAACGAAACCGAAATTAGGGCCAATTTCTGAACAAATTAGGAAGAAGCTGATTTTAACTGATGTCTGTAGGGATATATACCATGTATACACCAATAAAAAGAGTGTGTGGAACATTTTTATGAGGGGTCAAAAGTCATTTACCCGGACTAAAATACTAAATGTATCTCAGGAACACTCTATGGTATATGGTTAATCCTGGTGTCAAAATGCACAGAATTATACAAACAAAATAAGAAAATGAAATGAAACAACCCTCATAATTAATTCATGATATTGAAAAACGAGGACAAATATCAAAATGTCAAAAATTGTTGTTTTACTAACTGAAATGGCATATCATTTCAAAAATTAAAGTGTGAGGTGATTTCAACTGACTCATGTAGGAATACATACTAGGATACACCAAAACAAAGTTAGTGGAATGGGGGAGGTGGGGGAAAATACTATTTTAGGGTTGAAGGTTATTGACCCAACCTAAAACACTAAATTATATCTCGGGGAGCACTCTAATGTATATGGTTGATTTTGGTGTCATAATGCACAGAATAATGCAAAAAAACAAGAAAATAATATAAAGCTAGGACCCTCATAACCAATTCATTACCTCAAAAAAAAAAAAAAAAAAAAAAGGTCAAAAACCGAAATGTTGGCATTTAAATTGCATATATATTTAAAAAGAAACTCATCTTTTTCAAAGCTGTAGTAATATATAAAAGATAAGGTGAGGGGTGCAGCTGATATGATGCATTTTTCAACTATTGACGGCGCCAGTGGTGCACCCAGGGAGCAAACTCGTGGGTATGTCATTCTTTTGAAAACAATGCTTTGAAAACATATTTTTTACAGTATGAGAGTGCCATTTGCGGGTATCTAGAGGTGTTTGTTGCTCAAGTTTGCTCACCTCAGCCCTAACTATGGTGGGGCTGTTGTAACATTTTCCCTTTTCGATGTATATTGGACTCCTGGAATTTCTGGCGCTGGCATTGCTTTTTAATTTCTTTGTGCTTGTGTGGATTTTTTGAACTCCTTGTGGTGCAAGGTTTTTGTTTTTATCCTCCACACTCATTTTTACAAGTTGATGTTGAAAAACAAAAGCTATATTATAATAGGCATGCATTAGAAAGAGAGTGGGTGGGGCTGTAAAATTTGGAAGTACACAATTATGTCGGCCCGCCGCTGGTCACAACATATTGGAACTGGCCACCAGCTTAAAAAAGGTTGAATACCCGAAATGTAGGTATGAAAAAAAGTATTAAAGCTGTATTATCAGGGCATAAAGTAAAAAAAAAATGAAAATTCTAATTTTTACATTTGCATTGTTAATTTGTATATTTTAGCAAGTTATTAACTTCAAATAAAAAATTTGAATGAGAAAAAAAATCCCCCCAAAAAAAATTCCCCCCCCCCCCACTTTTCAGAAAGTCAAATTATAACTTTCCTGTATTTATTTGCATAGATCCTTAAATTGGCTAGTAATCAATTTAATTTTAAGGATTTTTGTGCTAAAATGCAAATTCATTTAATAGTCCAGGGGCTACGAACACCCTCCATACACCCACTGCTTTATAACTGAAATTATTTTTTTAAGTTACCTATATTTATAAGCTTAAAAAACACCTTGTTACTTAAGCGATTTCTGGTTGCCAGTGCATGTAAACCAACATAAAAAATGGGTAACTTTTTTGTTCAGTATTAGGATTATATATATGCCCACAACTTTTAATCAGCTGAATATATTTTCTTGTTTTTAGTATCAAAGTATAGAATAATACATTTCCTATTATTTGGTATAAAGGACAATGTAATTACATTGTACAGTTATGTCACAGGAGGTCAAAAGTTCATCAACCAAAGATCAACATAAAATTTCACCCAAAATATATATTGAAACTTGTGATAAAAGATTTTCTATCCCGTTAAAACTCAATTAACATGGATGAAATTTAGCTGAAGTAAAACATATATAAAAAAATAAATATATAGATAAAATAGGGACACCTTAGCTCCATTCACTACAGAGTTATCGCTCCAAAACTATGTGGGGTGTCTATATTATGTATTTACCATTGTATTTTGATACGAATGAAAAAGCTCTTAACTAGCTAAATGGCAGTTATGATGCTGAAAACTAGTGATGTACCCTAGAATTATTATGTATTATGAAATATTTATATTTTCCCAAACGTGATATAATTAACTAGTAAATATGAACTAACAGCGTATCAATTAAATGCATCATTAAGATTGATATGGGGTAGGGGTAGCGTTTATGCTAACAATCTTTTGTCAACTAAATATATATTTTGTTGTTATTAGTAATAAATTGTAGGATAGTATAAGCTCTATCATTTAGTTTAAAGAACAATGTAACGGCATGTATATCACAGGAGGTCTAAAGGTCACCAACCAAAGATTAAAATCGAATTTATCCAATATATATATTAAAACTCATGGACAAAACTTAGTTAAAGTAAAATATATATTAAAATACATAAATAGATAGAATTGTAAATAAATTTATTTTCACAATTGTGGTACATAATTAATTAGTAAATATGAACTAATTAAATATGGGTGTGTCAATTCTATGCTCAAGAAAAGGATTTGATGGCTATATAATGTTATAATGCTGAAAACAGGGTATCCGCTTACACTTTTTTTCTAATTATTATGTAATTGTGAGCGGTGTTATGTATATATAAATTAAGTTTAATAATTAGCTATATGCAAGCACTAAAAAATCATTAGAAATAAAATAGAAAATTAATAACAATTTTGTTTTTTAATTTATGTTTAATATATAATATATTATATTATATTGTATACTTACATATTGCAGTACATATATACTATAGTATATACAGTACTGTAATAATATATATATATATATACTTCATTTGTATGTATACTATACATTATATATACAGTATATATATACATGTATATATATTGTGTATATATTTGCGTATATGTATATATATGTATTTGTATATATGTGTGTATGTGTTTCCAATTAGTTTCCAATATATTTCTTATAGAAATAATGAGCTGCATTCTTATAATACAATTAAAAATATATACTACATCCAATTTTAGACATTTTTGTCTTGTCACACTTTTGTATGGTGAAATATGGCTAAAAAAAACCCGTCAATTTAATATTTTTTTTACTGTTAATTTAATGATCATGAAATGATTTTTAATATGTATACTCATTTATATGATAATATAAATGTAAAAATATTTCATTTTAAACAATAAAATCTATAGTTATACCTTACTAAAAATATTGCTTGGGGCATGTCCATTTACTGTGAAATTTCTCATATATGTATATGTATATAC